TCTGCGCGAAAGGTTTCGAGACACCGAAAACGAACAGAACAACGAGAACGGAATAATACGAACGCTAAACTCGGAAAACTAATTTGACTCGGGAAAAGAACACTAAAATAACGTAACTATAACACACGGAAACACGCTCTAATTTCACTCTCTCCGACACCGAACGACTCACGCCCGTGCCGGTCACGATCTATTTCTACGAAGACTCTTCGACGCTTCTTCGCTAAGGACTCTGCCTGTGTCGTCGAGGGGTCCTGTCTTTATGCTTTTCGCGAAGCTCGATGGCGTGCCTTCTCCAATCGCTAATTGGCTGATACGATTCAGCCCATTAGCGATTTGCCCCCCGTGACGATTCCGATTCTGTTGACCCGCGTTTCACCTGCCCGTAGAGACCAGGCAACTTAGCTTTGCTACCAAGAATAGCCTTTCGTGACGGTATCTTTTTCCAGTTGCTTCTAGAAAATGCCACGCGGGTCATCGATTGGTTTATAATTTTTTTCCAAAATAAGGAATGGTATCCTACAATACTGGCTATTAAAATGCTGGAACTCGAAGGCACCCTCTATACCCTGCTCGTAAACGACTCGTTCACTGGCTCACCCTCGACCACTGGCCACCGAGGCCTCTGATATCCGGCAATTTTTTCCACTCAGCCATGATCGGCAGCGAGCATCGGCGCTGTTTCCTTGGCGAACAGGGCGTACAATGGCCGGCACGATTGCCGAGGATTCCCCGGCTCGTGCGCAAGGCGGAGAGGGCGAGAGGGGCAGGAGGGTGCTATTGTTCCGGTGTAGCCTTAATGCGCGCCGTTGTAAACAGCGTTACAATGGAATAACTTCGTTAGCATAATCGCGTCACAAAGTCGCCTGGCGCCCCCTGCCGCTCCCGCTCCACTGCACCCCTTTTGGATTTTACGGGTGGTTTCCCTCCGGACAGCCTCGTGGGCGGACCCGATCCGATCCGCTGCCGCGTTTAACCGTCGCTTCGGTATTATTCATTGTCGCGATTGAATCGTTTATCTCGTCGCTGCTCGGCTGACCGCGCCACGGCACCGCTCACGATGACATCGTGTACACGGCACCGACAAGCATCTCGCGATGCTCCGCCATTCGATCGCACAATCGGGCTAAACGACCCATCCACGGCCAAATGCCAGACATCTTGGCCGATTCGCGAAGATTTCGCTCCTCTCGCTCCTTGACGAAGCTTACCGATCATGTGTGGCCGCTTGTAGAGACCGAGATAGGATCGCTGGGAACAGAGTAGCGAGAGGAGCGACTGATCGTTGGCTAAGTGGGTCTCGGCTACTGAGGAACGGAGTTGAACGATCGCGGATCGATTCTGTGAGATCGTGTATGTGTCGAGTAAGTATCCGTGTTGCGAAGATCGGTATGGCAGACAGACGATTATTAACTATAGAAATTCGATCGCGTATGTGTCGAGTAAGTATCCGTGTTGCGAAGATCGGTATGGCAGACAGACGATTATTAACTATAGAAATTCGATCGCGTATGTGTCGAGTAAGTATCCGTGTTGCGAAGATCGGTATGGCAGACAGACGATTATTAACTATAGAAATTCGATCGCGTATGTGTCGAGTAAGTATCCGTGTACGAAGATCGGTATGGCAGACCAGACAACCTAACCTAACCTAGCCGCGACGAAACTGTGCACGGTCCGCGAAACCGATCGTCAGAGGCATTTGGTTTGCTGAGTATCGAGGTCCGTAATAAACAAATACAGGCGGCCCTCGACTTTCGCATATTTTTAAAAATTCAACTTTTTAATCCTCTGCGGTCGAATGTCCCCTCTCAGGGGACATCAGACTAGCCATCAGACCAGGGCCGGCGCAGCTCTTTGCGGGGCCGGGTTCAAAAAAAATTTGCGGGGCCTAATGCACATATTAATGCAAATGAAAGCACTTAACACGCCTCTTTAACTTCACCATGTATACATATTGATAAATAAATACTTTAAAGCACAATTTTTGGTGCATATCTTTTTACATCCCTCTACTTTCGAACATTCAACATTCGCACACACTTTCAGGAACCTATTATGTGCGAAAGTCGAGGACCCAGTGTATAACAAAATACTAAAATACTATAGCAAAACAAATACTCACGCTGCATGTCCAGAGTGAGATAGTTGATGTGCAATAACTGCTGATGCTCGTCGTATGTAAGTACAATACGTGACATTTTATGGAGAGCGACTATAGTCGCTCGTAGTAGCGAAAGGGTTAACTACATAAATTCTGGAAACTTTCGGAACGAAATAAATATGTGGGGATACGGTGCTTTTATAGCGAAATGTAGGAGTTTTCACAGTTTTAATTTCAATTGAACTACGGGCATAAATGAGAAAGGGGAATCGAGTGAATCGCGTGTGAAGTTTCATTTCCAACGGAGATTAAGCCATATACGAGTAATCGAGGCCTTTAATCGTCTTAATTGCAGGAATATCGGATAAAGACGATTTACCGGAACGTCCTGGATCGCCATGGTCCAAAAACGATCATAAGACCGATAAGAGACGATGGCTGAACGTCTCCCTCGTAATTACGCGAAATCTTTGCGAGGCCGCGACGATATCGAATTAATTGTACGCGCGATCCCGCCGACGTACATGACATTTTTCGCCCTCCGGTCTTCGGCCGCGTTCACAATGGAAATGTTAAGCGAGTCGTGGATTCGCAACGCTCGTCACTCTTGTTCGTCGCTCGACAAAGCGGTTCTCCCGTGTCCGCGAACGTCAATTTAAGCGCGAGACCGAGGGCGCCGGGAGTTACCCGACGCGTTCATGGCCGTCGCCATCGTTGATGGACGAAAGATCACGCGGAGCGTTCTCGAGGGACTGTCTGCCGCCGCAAATCGTTCCGCGATAACCGTTCCTTCCATTATTCGCCGATCGCTTTAATCCGATTGCAATTTTATCCCACTTCGTTCAGGCTTCTAACTTATTCGTACTATCCTTCGAGGTAAAGCTTCGTGGAAATTCTTACGATTGTATTTGCGATTCTGCGAGTTTCTTTCGTATTGCGTATAAATTATTATTATTATCCTATGCTGATTATTGAAAAATAATCTATCCAAATATACGAAATACACGAAACGTTGGCCTTCCTCTAAATTATTTCAATTAATATCTCTAAATTATCTGAATTAGTACCCCTAACTTATCTAAATTAATTTCCCTAAATTATCTACTTAATCAACTATCTAATTTTGATGTCGTGGTATTTTATCGGAATTTCTGTAATTAAACTCGCATGTACAATCGCTGTCTAGAAACTCACCGACGAATTCGTTCTAGCACGAATAAGGAAGACTAGCGCGAATTCGTGATTGTTACGCCATTAGGGACTTCCCCCTGTTTGCCTGCCGTCGCACTGATTTCTGGCTTCTCCCAGCGCGTGGCGAAAAATAATCTCTTTTCTTCTCGACTTCCCCTTCTAGCCTAGAACGCCCGCTGCGGACGTCAAAATATGACAGCTCTCTCGGGTCACCACTTTCCGCGACAAGAGTTGCGTTCAAGGGGGTTGGCGACGAGCGATCATTAAAATAAAGCGGCGCTCGCGACGGTCATGCTCTTAACTGCGTTTCCTGTTCGTAATATCCCAACGAAAAAATTTGTACATTCGTATATTCGTTTAGCGAGAAATTTTACTTTCCTAATTTTATTTATCCGTCTTTTTACTTCAAATGTTGCAATCTTTTTATCGCCCACGCCTATGTAGAGTGAAAATTGAAATTTGGTAATCGAGTTTCCGTTATCGTTCGAGGCTGGTTGCTTCGAACATTAGCGAGAAAATTTAGTCGATGTATGATCAACGAGTCAATTTGGGTAAATTACGTGGCAACACGATTCGCACATTTGCAGGTTAAACGAGCGTCGCATTGAGAGCCACTGCGGTACGCGGTTAAGCTGACGGAAACGGTAAATGGTTCGCATCCAACCCCCTCGACGAGACGCTAATTCATATTCATAGGTGTAGCGTTTAGTATCGTGTCTCTGCGATCCTCTGGAGAGTTCGCTCGGAGAAGAACGTCGAGAAGGAGAAACATCAAGTTACATTAACTTGTCGCATCACCGACGCGCACCGACCATGCGATATCGCGGAATTTCGTGCAACTTTATGAGCCCTGATGAATAATAAATTTATCGTTATTCGTGAATGTTACGAGTCGGTGATTAATCGCTCGAACTTAATGAAACGATACGAATAATCCGTAGAATGCGGAACTATCAGAATTGTTACGAAGATATATTTTATGAAATCAATAAACGATAATTACTTTATCGGCGTAGATACTAGGTAACAAAATTGGTAATTTTCCGACGAAAGCGTAAGGTTTTTCGTGAAATGTGAAGATTAATTTTGAAATAGGCGATGGTACTGCCATCTGTTGATGGAACTGGAAGTTAAACCGAATTTCGTGGGTGTATCGATAGAGTAGTTGGTTCGAGACTGAGATAGCGTGGAATAATATTATAAATATTGATCCGGAATCACGCGATATTGTTCTATTTTAATATTCCTGAATTTGAACTCGTAACAACACATTGAACAAATATAAATTTTGTATAACGTTATAACAGTTTAATTGCACAATTTTATCTAAGAAACATATTTTATTCTATACATTAATGTGTTACCGAAGCACTCATGAATTCGATTTTAAGCGTTTCTAAAGGAAAATACAGTAACAAAAAGTTGTCTCCCCTACACATATTAAAATAAATGTTTGTATAATAATCATTATTCTTTATAAAAGATTAATTAAGCTTTTTCTACTCAAAATAAATTAGAACATACGATACATTTAATTGTACTATGTACCATATATAAAAGTATTCAAAATTTATTAAAGAATAATAATAATATTCTTTTAATGCATAACATATAAATAAATTTTTAAAAAGTGTAATTACAATGCACTTTGGACAATATATGTCTAGTGCATTACCTTAGAAGTTTGATATAAATACACCCTTAGCACTTTTAAATTATCATATCGCAAATTAATTATCTAACTTTGTAGTAAGTTACACTCCCCCCTCGTTCTTTGATGGCTGTACGTTTGGTTTAAGAAAATGATGGTAACTTGGTAGAATCTTGAACAGGTATTCTATTTGACTTAATGGAGGCTGAAACAGAATTAAAAATTGTATATCACTTAAACACCAATCATGTTATAATTTAGAGTTCAATGGGAGAAACTCACGTATGGCTTATCGTGCATTTCTCTACGTTGACAGTCACTACCATAAATTATGTTATTTTCAGGTATTACATCTGCTTCTGTCAATCTGCACGATGCTCCAATAATACAGCCCGTGGTTAATTCGACTTCACGACACACGTATGCTGTAAAAACGAAAGTGTAATCGTAATAAAAGGAGTCACTGATCGCTATATCGTATAGTTACATTTGCTTTCCAAAATGTTGTTATCTCCAACTTTAAATGCTTCGCAAGTACAGTCAGTTTCAAATACGTTATAATTGCCCACTATTTGTACGGGAACTGTTGTCGATTCAGGAGCATCTGCTGGTAATCTGCAATGGCAAAATTGTATATTTTATTACAATACTATGAATGAGAAAAAGAAACTATGCTTCAAATTAAAATTACCTGTTTGCTATTATTGCCATTTCTTCTATAATGTTCCCCTCACCAATTATAATCGGTCCAGCTTCTGCAATGATACTTGCCCTTGGATGAATTACAGTTCTTGGTCCAATAGTGATGTCGCCTTTCAAAACACAATCCTGGCATACTAAAGCTCCTACTGCTATCTTCACACTGTAGAAAGATTTATATCTCTCTTTTACAATATGACAAACATACATAAAGAACTTAACCTCAAAAGGTTACAAACTTCCCGATTTCACCGAATACGTTAAAATTTGTTTGAAATTCTATAAGTAGACGATACACAAAAAACTCATAAAATATAAATAACATACGGAATTTATACGGATAAATATGAACAAAATTTATGAATATTCTCACTTTGTACGACGTCCAAGACCCGAACTCATTGTTAGCAGCTGTCTGTATATGCCTAAGCACGCCCTCTTTGGTGACTTCGAGGAATCACTCGCTACGAATTTCTTGAAATAACACTAGCTTACAATAAATTCGCATTAACACTAAATATACATATTTAACACATTAAACATTCAATTCGTTTCTAGTAAAATTTCTTGAAAATTTACACACGCTATTTGCATTACTGAATTTTGTAGTTTAACACCTGCGAAACTACGTGAAAGAAATACTGTAATTACTTAGAACAGACCAAATGATTTAATATTCACAAACGAAGTTGTAAAACATCGTTTCAAACAAATGCGAAAAATAACTCGTCCTCTACATCTTCCTCCTTACACACGTGACGTTAGTTAAGAATTTGACTAATAAACGAATCGCGTAACCTGTGAATAAAATAAAAAGCGACAAATCAGAATGAACAGTGAAACGAAATCGTAAAACATTGTTCCTATTTACATATGCATTTATTTTCTTCGTTCTTCCATTTCATAATCCACGCTGCAAAATTGAAAACAGAAATAATAAAATATAACAGAGTAATGGAAGAGAAAGCAGAACCCGTAGGAAGATAGCGTAATTAGGAACAGACCTGCCTTCACAGGAACCGTGAGAGGAAGTGCTAAAAGGACTAAGAAAGTCGAGGTGGGGAGATCATGGTGAAAAGGTGAGTCGATAGCGCGTGAACAGCGCCACTCTAAAGAACATAACTCTTTCACTCGTTTTTCTTTTTTTTTTTTTTTTTTTTTTTTTTTTTTTT